TCTGCCGCCCCCCGCCTACCGGCTCCGCGGCCCCGGTGCCAAGAGCAACACAGGGCTGGGGGAAAACAGCCCGGCTCGCTGCTCCCGGCCCTGCCATGCACCGGGGCACGCACACACATCACGCGTGTGCGCACGTGCATGCACGCCCCTGGGCTGTGCGCTGGCACCGGGGTGCACGCGCACACACACACGTGTGCACACGTGCATGCACACACGTGCCTGCTTGGCTGTCTGCAGCCACTGGGGCGTGCACACACACGCACATGTGTGCACACATGCACACACACACGTGCCTGCTTGGCTGTGCATTGGCACCAGGGTGTGCACACACACACACGGTGCTCTGTCACTGGGGCGTGCACTCTCACACACACGTGTGCACACGTGCACACACACACGTGCCTGCTTGGCTGTGCATTGGCACCAGGGTGTGCACACACACACACATGTGTGCACACATGCACACACACACGTGCATATGTGCATGCACCCATGTGCCTGCTTGGCTGTGCCTGCTTGGCTGTGCGCTGGCACTGGGGTGTGCACACATGTGCACACGTGCATGCACACACGTGCCTGCTTGGCTGTGCGCTGGCACTGGGGTGTGCACACATGTGCACACGTGCATGCACACACGTGCCTGCTTGGCTGTGCGCTGGCACTGGGGTGTGCACACATGTGCACACGTGCATGCACACACGTGCCTGCTTGGCTGTGCGCTGGCACTGGGGTGTGCACACATGTGCACACGTGCATGCACACACGTGCCTGCTTGGCTGTGCGCTGGCACTGGGGTGTGCACACATGTGCACACGTGCATGCACACACGTGCCTGCTTGGCTGTGCGCTGGCACTGGGGTGTGCACACATGTGCACACGTGCATGCACACACGTGCCTGCTTGGCTGTGCGCTGGCACTGGGGTGTGCACACATGTGCACACGTGCACACGTGTGTGTGTGTGCACGCCCCAGTGCCAGCGCACAGCCAAGCAGGCACGTGTGTGCATGCACGTGTGCACATGTGTGTGTGAGTGTGCACGCCCCAGTGCCAGCGCACAGCCAAGCAGGCACGTGTGTGCGTGCACGTGTGCACACACACACGTGCCTGCTTGGCTGTGTGCCAGCACTGGGGTGTGCACACATACACACGTGTGCACGTGTGCACACTCACACGTGCCCGCTTGGCTCTGTACCAGCACTGGGGCGTGCACACACACACACACACGTGTGCACACGTGCACGCACACACGTGCCCGCTTGGCTGTGTGCTGGCACCAGGGCATGCACACGCACACACACGTGTGCACACGTGCATGCACACACGTGCCCGCTTGGCTGTGCGCTGCCACTGGGGCATGCACATGCACACATGTGCACACGTGCACGCACACACGTGCCCGCTTGGCTGTGCGCCAGCATCGGGGCATGCACACACATACGTACCTGCTTGGCTGTGCGCCAGCACCGGGGCGTGCAAAGGCACACATGTGTGCACATGTGCATGCACACATGTGCCCACTTGGCTGTGCGCTGGCACCAGGGCATGCACACAAACACACGTGTGCACACACGCATGCACACATGTGCCTGCACTGGGGCATGCACGTGCACCCGTGCGTGCACACACGTGCCTGCTTGGCTGTGTGTCAGCACCAGGGCGTGCACATGCACACATGTGCCTGCATGCCAGCACTAGGGCGTGCACATGCACAGACACGCGTGTGCACATGTGCATGCACACGTGCCCAGGGCCGAGACGGGTGCCCCCGGGGTGCCGGTACAGGCCATTCCCCCCCCCCCCCCCTCCTCCCGCGCGGCAC